AATAATTATTGACCGCATGTTTCAGCTTCCATCCCGTCCGCATATAAGTGTACTAGCATGATGATAGCCAATCGAAAGCATGTGTTTGCTCACAAACTGGTCTTCTAAACTGTGTTTGGAATTTTCGCAAATATCAGAAGGCATCAGGAGGACAAAGTTACCAGGAATTCGTTTTTCAAAAAAGCACACTGGTTCCGAGACCTCAAATATTTGCATGAACTCAAACCACTTTTAATAAATTTAATCAGTTAACATATACTCTGTCTAAAGGTAACACTAAATAAGAAGAAGAGCCCTCCAAACATTTGGTTTGAAAACGAAAGTTCTGAACATTCCCTCTGCAGAGTATAATTGCCCTATAAAAACGTTAACTTACTGCAGCACTGGTACTTGGTCGATTTTTTTCCTGTGTAGTTGGAAGAGTTGGCTGGAAGAATTCTCCGCCGCAAACTAATACGCGTGCTAATGCTGCATATTAGTTAGTGCTGCAAACGGACTTGCTTACTTCTTTCTCGCTCGACATATCCTTGAAGAGCGCTGTCAGTTTAAGAAGTTTGGTCGCCGATCAGCCTACAGTCTGACTAGTAACCCTGTTAGATCATTTTGTCTAAAATATTCCAAAATTCTGCGTAGTTATGGCCTTGTTTATGCTTCCGATCCTCAGTATGCAGTAGTCATGAGAATGGAGGTAATATATGGACTACTTTGAGTAGGGGCTTTATCAGATCACATGTTTTCCATAGATAATCAACCCAAGGAATAATGTCTTTTATTATAAAGGGAACATGGTAAAAGGATTCGTTTTTTGCCCGTGTGTCTATGTAACTAACTTTTTCGTTTAAATTCTTTCCTGTAGCGAAGTCTGAGGAGCACGCACCAGAACACAAGTTCCAGCTCATCAAGGGTGACAATAAAGATGACAGTGACGATGACGATGTTGGCGAACTTTGATTTTTATGGGGTAGGAGCAGCATCGGTTTGATTTTTCTCGCCAATTTTTCTCTAAATGAATCTCTAACTGCCTATTTTTTTAACTGATTGACCCTTCGCACTCGGTCGTTTGTAATTTTGTGACCTAATTTTTTAGTCCTACGCCATCTTACTATTTTTTCCTATGATTTACTACTTAGTGCTCCTAGTGAGCGCTTCATCACTCCTCTTCTAATTGTTACAAAGGATTAAAATAAACACATTTTCAGGGCTTGGCTGCTGTAGTTGTTGCTTCAGGT